CACCTTATCTTTTCATTTTATTATCTTTAAAAAATGTTTTATTGATTTTTTAGAGAGAGAGGGAGAAAGGTAGAAACATGTTTGCCTCCCCTACACCCCCTTCTAGGGATCCAGGCCCCAACCTGGGCACAGCCCTGATGGGGAATCAACCACCAGGACCTCTCAGTCCATGGGACAGGGCTCAATCCACTGAGCCACACTGGCGTGGCATTACCTTTTGAATAACTGTCATTTTGGGGCATTTGTTCTGCACAAAAAATTGTGCCAAGTGCTTTTTTATTAACAGTCCTTGGTTTTATCGGGACCTCAAACCTAGGGCAAGCACTGGACATTGCATCCTTTACAAATTAGCTACACAGTCCCTACATTTTTGCAAGGAAAACCTGCTACTAGGTTGTTAGTCTTTTAGGACTTCTCATCTCTTTCAGGAGGAAACAACTGCAACAACTCCTTGTTTCCGATCTCCGCACCATACCTGAATCCCAGCCTCGCACCTGTCCATCTGCCTAGCAACCTGGCTGGTCCCAGCGCCAGCCTGATTCTTACACCGGTGGGGACAAACCGCAATCTAAGTACATGCCCTTAGCGGGAACCAAACCTGGGTCTCTCTGGATACAGATTTTACATCAGGGATCTCACAAGGAGCACAAGATTCCTCCACACCAGATTTGTGAAGAAAAGGTGCTCAGTTTCCAAGGCCTTTACTTATAAAACCCAAGCTGGTGGCCAGCGTCTGAGTCGCAGCACCTGTTCTCCCGTGAATTCTCAAGTCCTTTTCCTTGCATGGCCTCAGTTTCTCTATTTGTGAAAGAGGGGCTGAAATATCCCAGGAGCTAGGCTCTGCATTTCCGTGGCTCCGGGCACCACCGTCTCGTACACGCACCTTGTGTTTTCTTCCCAAGAGACGGGGATAGTGAGTTGAAAGGTCAGTGGGAAGGCCTCTTTACCAGGCAATATCTCCTGGTCAGAGATCCCACTACTCTTAAGTACCTTAACGAGCCAGACTTGCAGAGGAGTTTCCGCCAACGTACACATGGAGACGGAGTTAAGATGGCGGCGCGCAGGCGCGTAAACCCGAAGCCTCAGTGAGGATCCGCCTCTCGCCCTGCATCACGTGAAAAGGAGGCTCAAAACCGTCATTAGAGTGCTAATGTTGTCACATGACGCAGGCCAACCAATACAACAGAGAAAATGGAAAGTCCTTGTCACGTGGCCAAGAAAGACTCTGAATTTGCCACTGTCACATGATCAAGCAAAGGCGTCGAAAGGGGAGGGAAACACTAACGCGCCACGTGATGAGCATGCAACGTCTACGCTCTTGTCACGTGACCAGAGCCCACCTCCTCTCTTTTCGTCCCTCCCTCCCAAGTTGGGCCTGCGTCAAACGGCAACGCGGCGACGAGGGGGCGGGGCTCCGGGTGGTCACGTGGATCCGCACCTCCCCGGCGCGCGCCCGCCCGCCCGCCCGCTCGCCCCCGGCTCCTCCTCCTCTTCTCGCCATTGCAGTTGGACTCAGCAGCCCGGTGCGCACCGCGTGGCTTTTGGGGGAAGACCCCGGTGGGTTGTGGCAGGAGGTCGGCGGCGGTTGCGGTCGGGGAAGGGGACGGCAACAAGGTAAGCTCCAATGTGGCGGCGGTCGGGCCCGCTCCCGCCTCTCTGCCCCTCCCCCCCGCCCGTCCTTCCAATAGCGCGGGTCCGTTTGGAGAGTCGTGGTGACAAGGCCAGAAGCGGCCTGTGCTTCCCACCTCCGCACGGTCCCTTGTCCTGGTGCCTGGCTTATTTCTCCCTCGCCAGTTGTTCTCCCGCGTTTGGCCGTTACTCTCCCCCATTGTGCCGAGGAAACAAAATGGCGGCGTCGGCGGCGAGGGCTCGGTGCGCGCGCATCCGTCCTCCCCCCCTTCGCGGCCCCTCGTTCGGCGGCAGCGCCTCGTGCGGGGGGGGGGGGTGCGCGCGCACCGGGCTCTCGGCTGCAGCCTCCCCCGGGCTAGGCTTTTGTCTGTTGCAGCGCCCCGCGTGCGCGCGGGCACGTGCTGGAAACACACACCCCCCTCCGGCCCAGAGCATCCTTGCCCGCGCGGCAGGGGAAATCCTCCTCCTCACCCCCCCCTCCTTACCACCTCCTCCTCCTCTTTGTCCCACTCCCGCCCCGGGTTCCAGGAGGGTCCCAGGTTACCGAGGCGGGAAACGTGGTCTTCTTTGTCCTTACATGGCGCGGAGAGGCGGACCCCTTCCCCGGAATCTGGTCCATACGCGGGTTACAGAGGAGGCCTTTGTGGGTTCATGGGCTTCCCAAATCCCTGGTTAGCCAGGCCTCCCCCAGGTCAGCATCCAAACTGGGAGGAGGATTTAAGACATCCTTTTCTTTAGTCCAGGTGTTTCATTGATGTTGAATTTTTTCCACGTTGTTAAGGGTTTGCATCCTCCTCCAAAATGGTGATCTGGTGCGATATTTGGGTGCACTGTAATCTGCAAGATTGGGACCCAAACGAGTGCTAACACCTCTTTCTACCTTATTTCCTCAAGTAGAATAACAGATTCTTGGGGTTGCTCTTGATGTTCTGCCCGGGTTAATCCTGTCTGGATGAATCATTTAGTGCCTAAACTTGGGGAGCGGAAGCCATTTCTTCTAAATAATTTCAGAATTGATTGAAACTTGCTTGGGATTCTGCTTAGGGCACATGGTAGGTCAGCAAGAAAGCATCAGTTTCTGTGATAAACCTCCCATTTCTGAGCTCAAGTATATCAGGTTGTGAATCTATATGTTTCTCATGGGTTAGGATTTATTCCTCTTTACAATAAGTGATCCGCGGGGAAACACAAGGTGCCACCCAAAGTCAGAACTCAAATTTAGGACTTTAGGCTGTCCTCAGGTGTCTGTGGTTGGAAGTCTCCACAGATTGCACAGTGCTGCCACTAGGCTTTGTATGGGATGCTTTGTGTGTGGTCTTGTGGGATGTAGTGACAGCAGCTGCTCAGGCTGTGAATGAAATGTGGGAACCAGAGGCTCCTTCACAGCTGGAAAAGGGAAAGGTTCTAGGGCACTGACAGGTGCTATTATCCCTGAGCTGTTTCTTGGTCTTATGGGCAGCTCCTGGTCCCTGTGGTTTGTGAATGAAATCTGTGCACACCTTAGTGCAGTGGTTCTCAACCTTTCTAATGCCCAGACCCTTTAATACAGTTTCTCATGTTGTGGTGACACCAACCATAAAATTATTTTTGTTGCTACTTCGTAACTGTAATTTTGCTACTGTTATGTAGCAAAGGGGTAGAGACCCACAAGTTGAGAACTGCTGCCTTAGTGTCTGTAGCTTGTGGAGGCTGGCAGTTACTGCCAGGCTTGGCCTTGCCAGCACTGGACACTTGATTTGTCCGAGTTTCCCTACCTTCCAGGAGCTTGGGCAAGCCTTGAAACACCTAAATGATGCCTAATTGTTGGCAGTTTTGTTTTTCTTTTTCTTTCTTTCTTTTTTTTTTTTTAATCCTCGCCTGAGCACATTTTTTCATTTTTTTGTCCAGATAGAGTGGGAGGGAGAGAGAGAGAGAGAAACATCGACGTGAAAGGGACACATCGAGTGTTTGCCACCCGCACAACCCAACCAGGGCCAGGGACAAACGGCAACTGAGGTACGTGCCCCTAGCGGGAACCGAACCTGGGTCTCTCAGGACCGCAGGCCGACGCTCCAACCGCTGAGCCAAACTGGCCAAGGCGGCAGTTTTGTTTTTCTTCATTTGAACTCATTTAGTGCCTAGAGGCAAAAATTCCTTTAGTTCCTTCTAGTATACTTAAGATTTTTTTTGTTTGTTTTTGGAGAGTCATATTACTTGGAATGAGAAATGTAAGATTTTCTAATTTAAAAAAAAAACATTTTTTTTGCTGTCAAAACCCCACTGGCAACAGTGGCTGCTAATACTCTGATGACTCTTACGTGGTCCTCATTTTCGTGCTCTCCTGGTTAAGTTCTCCAGGTAGGGATATGTGGAGTCAGTGGTGAGGATAGAGTCTTCTTTTGTGAGCCACTTCTCTTTGGTAAACAGTGGGCAGTATCTTGTCTGTAGGCTTCAGCAAGATGTAGGGGTTGGAAGTGTTCTCACTTCTGAAAAAGGCTTTAGGCTGGGACATTTGCCCCTTAATTACCTCTTTCACCATCCTCCTCAATTCCTCCTGATTTTATGGCTCGGGAATTATTCGTTTCTCCAAGAAACTTGGGTTTATCCTAACTCTTTGAATTTGACCTCCTGTTACATCTTTGTCAGTAAATTTATTGACCTTGGCAGATTTTTTTAAAAAATTAAAAATTTTTTTAGAGGGGGAGGGGAGAGGGAAACATCAATGAGAGAGAACATTGATTGGCTATCTCCTGCATGTCCCCTGGGCATGTGTCCTGACCAGGAATTGAACCAGCGACCTCTTGGTGCATGGGTCTATGCTCAACCAGTGAGTCACACCGGCCGGGCTTAAATTGATTTTTATTTTATTTTTTTAAATTTTTTCTTTTTTTTCCCCCTTTATTGATTTCAGAGAGAGAGGAAGGGAGAGGGAGAGAGAGATAGAAACATCGATGAGAGAGAACATCAACTGGCCGCCTCCTGCATGCCCTCCGCTGAGGATCAGGCCTACAACCTGGGCATGTGTCCTGAACGGGAATCGAACCGGTGACCTCTTGGTGCATGGGTCGATGCTCAACCACTGAGCCACACCAGCCGGACTTAAATTGATTTTTAGAGAGGGGGAGAGAAACATCAATTTGAGAGTGAAACATCCATCCCTGCCTCCTGCACACCCCCTACCTGGGATCAAGCCGTCAACCTTTCAGTGCATGGTTACAATGTCCACTCTGGCCAGGGCAACCTTGTGCAGTTTTGAAAGATGTGTAAATGTCACCATCTGGTTTTAGCATATATGGCCCACAAAGTAGTGACATTTTATTTAAATCATACCTTGAACCTTCTCAGGAATTAGGATTTTCTAGGCTTTCTATATTGGGTGCTTTTTATTTTAGCAATGTCCTGGGAGAAGAAGATTTTATTTTTGTTTCTAGGGGAAGGGTTTGGAATTAGAAGCAGATGGTGGTTTGACAGGAGTCTACACACTGTTAGTAAAGTGTGTTGGGGCCTTGAAGGGATGAGGTTGACTTCAGTTTTCTATTGCAGCATTTGACAATTTCATCTGAAACAACTAGCTTCTCTCTGCTTTGTTAGGGTAAGTTGGTGCTACCTTTTCGAGTTGCTAGCTGGGTGGGCAGGTGTTTGTTAGGGAGTCTTGTCAGTGTACTGATTTTTAAAAATCATTTCTTGCCATATTTATGCTCTGTTATACACCCCTGTGATATTTCTCCAAGGCAGAATATTGTAGATGATCCCATTAGAAATTGCAATAGGAAATTCAGACTATTTTTTCATCGTTACCGGAAGATGTGTTTTATTGGTTTTAAAGAGGGAGGAAAGGAGGGAAAGAGAAACATTGATGTGAGAGAGAAGTGTCAATTGATTGCCACCTGTATGACCAGGGATTGAACCTGAAACCTTTTGGTGTATGGGATGACCCTCCAACCAACTGAGCCACCCAGTCCGGGCCAGCCAGACTTGAAAAATGTCTTTCAGATCAAATGTCTTGAGAAAGCGATGTCCAGTTGAGGTTTTTTTTCTTTTCTCATCGATTGTCCATATAATGAAGAAATAGAAAATGTAGCCACCAGTTTAACAGGAAAATTCATTTACTGTCTAACGGCTTAAAAATTTTTTTTATGGCTCATACCTGATCACCAAGGATCATTTAGTCAAAAGTGAACGTATGCCCTGAAATGTATGTCTGGCTCATTTGGTTGGAGCATCATTCCGTGTATCAAAGGGTCGAGGTTTCAATTCCCAATCAGGGCACATACCCGGTTGTGGGTTTGATCTTCAGTCAGGGTGCCTCCTTTTATTGGGATATGTAACTGTCTCCGTATTATTTCTGTGCTCTTTTTCATCCTCACCCGAGGACATTTTTTCATTTTTTGTTCAGATAGAGTGGGAGGGAGAGAGAGAGAGAAAAAAAAACTTCGACCTGAAAGGGACACATCGAGTGGCTGCCACCCACACCACCAACCAGGGCCGGGGACAAACTGCAACCAAGTACACGCCCTTAGCGGGAACCAAACCCGGGTCTCTTTGGACTGCAGGCCGATGCGATGCTCTAACCACTGAGCCAAACCGGCCAGGGCTAATTCTGTGCTCTTACTAGCAATTTGAGGTTCATGATAATTTTTATTGCACATTCCAAACAGCCTCCCTTCTTTTATTTATATTTCTAGAAAGAAACATTGATTTATTGTTCCACTTATTTATGCATTCGTTGGTTGATTTTTATATGTGCCCTGACCAGGGATTGGACCCACAACTTAAGTGTGTCAGGACAATACTCAGACCAACTGAACTACTCGGCCAGGGCAGCCTTCCTTTTTTTTTTTTAAGATTTTAAAAATTGGTTTTTAGAGAAAGGAAGGGAGAGGAGGAGAAAGAGAGAAACATCGACTGGCTGCCTCCTGCATGCCCCCTACCCGGATCGAGCACCAAGCCCCGGTAATGTGCCCTGACTGAGAATCGAACCAGCATCCTTTCACTGCATGGGACAACATCCAACCAACTGAGCCACACCTGCCAGGGCCAGCCTTCCTTATTTTCAGTAGAGTTGTGGTTCAAACTCAAGGGTGAGGTCGTATTGGGGTAATCTTCCAGGCCACTTGTTTTTCTGCTGTTTGCCTTTTAACTCTTTTCTTACTCTTATCTGAGGGTGTGTGTTTTTAAAAAAATGAAATGTTGCAAGTTAGGTTAACTTCTCAGTGGTATATGTAGATTTTTTTTTGCAGGTTGGTAATCCTTTGCATTCATAATTTTAAAAACTAAGTGTCAACAATATGAAAATAACTAGCCCAGCCCCATGGCTAATAGCATCACCTAATAAATATTTGTCCTGTGGGTGACCTGTGCAGAATGCTTGCAGGAGGGGAAAATAGCTGCCCAGTAAACAGAGAACTGGGGGCTGCCCAGTGAGGACTCACCAGTAATCACAGCTTCGCAGAGGGGATGTGTGAAGTGACAGGAGTGGAGAAAAGGTGAATTGCATCAATTTTGGGGAAGTTACTTCAGTTTGTTTTTTAAAATGTAAGGCTTTAGCTCTGGAAAAACACTCTGGCAGTTTTTCACAAAACTAACAGGCAACTACCATATGACCCAGCAATTTGACTCTCTTGCATTTATCCCAAAGCAATGAATGTATATGTTCACACAAATACTAATACACAAATGTTCTTAGATTTATTTGTAGTAGCCAAGAACTAGAAACCACCCAGATATCCGTCAGCCGCTGAATGGTTAAACAATCCAAGGTGTATCCATACCAGGGAATACTACTTAACAATAAAAAAGAGCCAACTGTTGATACATATACAACTTGGATGAATCTTGAAGCAGTTATGCTGCAAGAAACAAGCCAATCCTGAAAGGTTACAACTCTTCAATTCTGCTTAGAAAACATTCTCGGGATGTCAAAATTACAGAAATGGTAAATGAATTAGTGGTTGTTAAGAGTTAGGCATGGGGTACTATAGGAAGGTGAATGTGACTATACAGGGCAAACAGTGGGATCCTTGTGACAGCAGTGGTCTGTATATTTCAGTATCATTGTTATGATATTGTATTATAGTTTGTAAAATGTTATTGTTGGAGAAAACTGGGTAAGGAGTTCTTGCTCTCACCCTGGCCGGTTTGGCTCAGCGGTTAGAGCTTCGGCCTGCGGTCCAGAGAGACCCGGGTTCGGTTCCTGCTAAGGGTGCATACCTCGGTTGCAGTTTGTCCCCGGCCTTGGTTGGTCATACAGGTGGCAGCCACTCGATGAGTCCCTGTCATGTCGATGTTTCTCTCTCTCTCCCCCTCTCCCTCCCTCCCACTCTATCTGAACAAAAAATGGAAAAATGTCCTTGGGTGAGGATAAAAAGAGAAAAAAAAAAATTCTTGCTCTCTCTTTCTCTCTTATCTTTTTCCTTACTCTGTAAAATCAATTAAAAAGTCCAGCTGGAGCCCTGGCCGGTTTGGCTCAGCGGTTGGAGCGTCGGCCTGCGGTACAGAGAGACCCGGGTTCGGTTCCCGCTAAGGGCACGTACCTCGGTTGCAGTTTGTCCCCGGCCCTGGTTGGTCGTGCGGGTGGCAGCCACTCGATGTGTCCCTTCACGTCGATGTTTCTCTCTCTCTCTCTTCCTCTCTCTCCCTCCCGCTCTATCTGACCAAAAAATGTCCTCGGGTGAGGATTAAAAAAAAAAAAAAAAAAAAAGTCCAGCTGGTGAGGCTTAGTGGTTGAGCGTTGACCCATGTACTAAGAGGTCGCCGGTTCGATTCCTGGTCAGGACACATGCCCAGGTTGTGGGCCTGATCCCCAGTGGAGGGCATGCGGGAGGCGGCCAGTTGATGTTCTCTCTCATCGATGTTTCTGTCTCTTTCTCCTTCTCACTTTCTCTCTAAAATTATTTTAAAATATTTAAAAAATAAAATCAATTTTAAAAAGGTGTTTGTTTTTTTTATCCTCACCTGAAGACTTTTTTTTTTTTTTTTTTTTTTTTGCATTTATCTTCCTATAGAGCAGGAGGGAGGGAGGGAGGGAGAGAGAGAGAGAGAGAGACACCGACTGGTTGCCACCCACATGACCCCAACCGGGGCTGGGGACAAAACTGCAAGTGAGGTACATGTCCTTTTTTTTTTTTTTGCCTCACCTGGGGACATTTTTCCATTTTTTTGTTCAGATAGAATGAGAGGGAGCCCTGGCCGGTTTGGCTCAACGGTTAGAGAGTCGGCCTGTGGTCCAGAGAGACCCGGGTTCGGTTCCCGCTAAGGGCATGTACCTTGGTTGCAGTTTGTCCCCGGCCCTGGTTGTGTCGTGTGGGTGGCAGCCACTCGATGTGTCCCTTTCACATCGATGTTTCTCTCTCTCTCTCTTCCTCCCACTCTATCTCAACAAAATATTGAAAAATGTCCTCGGGTGAGGATTAAAAAATAAATAAATAAAATAAATTAAGAATGGGAGGGAGAGAGAAAGAGAAAAACATTGACATGAAAGGGACACATTGAGTGGCTGTCACCCATACGACCAGTCAGGGCCGGGGACAAACTGCTACCGAAGTACATGCCCTTAGCAGGAACCGAACCCGGTCTCTTCGGACCACAGGCCAATGCTCTAACTGTTGAGCCAAACCGGCCAGGGCGAGGTACATGTCCTTAGTGGGAACTGAACCCGGGACTCTGGTCTGTGAGCCAACGCTCTAACCGCTGAGCCAAACTGGCCACGGCTAAAAAAAATTTTTAATGAATTCAGATTCTTTTTGAGAGTACACTTGATTGCTCTGTTATTTCTTGTTTTATTTTATTTTATTTTCTATTTAAAAAACTTTTTTCTTCATTATTTAGAAAGAGAGGAATGGAGAGGGAGAGAGAGATGGAAACATTGATGAGAGAGAACATCGATTGGCCGCTTCCTGTGTGCCCCGCACTGGGATTGGGCCCACAACCTGGGCATGTGCCCTGACCAGGAATCGAACCAGTGACCTCTTGGTGCATGTATCAGTGCCCAGCCACTGAGCCACACCAGCTGGGCACGCTGTTATTTCTTACAATTGCAGATGATGCTACAGTTACCTGAAAGCGAACAGTTTTCATTTAAAAAAAATATGTACCCTTACCCACTAAAATAATTCACATTTGCATGTTAATGTCCTTTGAAAAGTGGTCTTTTTAAAAACTTTTTCTTCTTGCCCTGACTGGTTTTGCTCAGTGGTTAGAGTGTCAGCCTGCGGTCCAGAGAGACCCGGGTTTGGTTCCTGCTAAGGGCATGTATCTCGGTTGCAGTTTGTCCCTGGTCCTGGTTGAGTCATGTGGGTGGTTGCCACTCGATGTGTCCCTTTCACGTGGATGTTTCTCTCTCTCTCTCTCTCTCCTTCCCACTCTGAACAAAAAATGAAACAATGTGCTCCAGTGAGGATAAAAAAACATTTAAAAAACTTTATTTTTGATACTATCAGTTCAGGAAGTGAGATCTTTTATTTATTTTTTGTCCTCACTCGAGGACAGTTTTGCATTTATCTTCAGATAGAGCAGGAGGGAGAGAGGGGGGAAGAAAGAGGGAGAGAGAAACATCGATGTGAGAGAGACACATCGACTGGTTGCCCACATGAC